GGGGCGGTCTCCAGGCTTTCGTTTCACTCGGACATGTTCATGTGTGGAACCAGTATAGACCAATGTGGCGAGGCACACAGTCAACCATATATTCAGCCATTGGGTGACCATGTTTGTTTTTCAACGCAACCAGGGCCTATGAAGTGGGAAAATGTCTTTAATCTGAAATATAAAAAAGACATATTGTTCTTTGCGGGATTTATTATGGAAGGGTTTCTAATGTCAACTACTAGGTAAAGCCTTGTGCTTGGAGTGGAAGACCAGAGGCTGGATTCCCGACATGGTACAGTGTCCGAAGCAAACTGTCCATGTCACCCGCTGTTATATAGGTAAAGTATGAATGCGGCATAAAACAACACTTTGTTTAAATTTATATACAGTTAAAAACTGTTAATTTGGATGGTGTCGTATCAACAAAAATCGTTCAGATTAGCATATTTCTGGATTCCAGCATTAATGATATGTAGGACAGGACTCCCACTCAATTAAAGGTTGGAAGAATTTATCCGATTTATAATATATATTCATGGTTATAAATGTTTTCTTTTAATTACCCTACACGTAGTTATAATGTAAATACGATGTGGGTGCAGAGTTGTGTTTCTTAGGCGTGCCAGGAACGTATGGCTGTGGGTTCGAATCCTGGTTGGCCCTGAGTACGTTCCTTATAGATGAATATTTATCAGATTTTGTCTCACATCAAGCTGACACGCCGCCATATATTTGATTCAGGAGTAATGTTCCATGCGGGAATAACCCAAACTGACCCGTTCACTTTTATTGTATTATTATGATCACACACGGGGTGTTGAATATTTAACGTCAGAGTCGGTGAAGCACCATACAGTATCGGAAAGGCTAGTTTTCGGGAAGATACACCCGTGATTTTATATCAGCACTAGTACGGGGGCACGGGTGGCCCAGTCGTCTAAGGCGCCGCGATTCGCTGTGCAGAGTTGCGTCCCTTGGGCACGCCAGAAACCTATGATTGTGGGTTCGAATCCCGGTTCGCCCCGGTTATGTTTCTAGGTTTGTCAGCACCATACCCGTGCTCGTGGGTTTCACCGAAGTGGTAAACGTCTGAGACCTGCATCACTTCGGGCTTTCCTCCCACATTAAGCTGACACGCCGTGATATAACTGGAATAATGTTAAAAGCGGCGTTAAACCCAACTCACTCACTCACTCAGCACTAGTACTGTTACGGACACGTACCCAGCAAAGCGAAATATCGCGTCGTATACGAGCTGACGTGGTCTGAGACGATACAGTAGCTTTCGTGATCATAATAAACTCCAAAATGTTTTATACCCGATAGTACAGTTGGTTGGTTGGTTTGTTGTTTAACGGCGCACTCAGCAATATTCCAGCTATATGACGGCGGTCTGTAAATAATCGAGTCTGGACCAGACAATCCAGTGTTTGACAGCATGAGCATCGATCCACGCAATTGGGATCGATGACATGTATCAACCAACTCAGCGAGCCTGACCACCCGATCCCGTTAGTCGCCTTTTACGACAAGCATAGTCGCCTCTTATGGCAAGTATGGGTTGCTGAAGAACTATTCTACCCCGGAATCTTCACAGGTCCGATAGTACAGATCATTACTGACACATTACTAGCAATTAGACACCAAAGACCTGTTTCACGATTCAGTATTGCCTCACGGAAACCTTTTGATTCCGGAAATTGTCAAACCAATGCAGGAAATCTCTCTCGTAAGTAAACATTGTTCGATCATTGCTATAACGTGTAATCTTTTCTCCTGGGAACGAAACAATAGCTTCAAGATTAATGTCTTATTATCCCCGTACAAATTTGCGAATGCTCTCTTTTGGCGGGTATGTTTGGCTAAATCTGGGAAATACTGGACACGCTGGTTCCTTCTAGTATTGGCTGGGTATCCTCGTATAGTTTTGTTTGTTTGTTTGTTGTTTACCGCCCCTTAGCAATATCCCAGCTTTTTTATGGTGGTATGTACATAATCAGAGAATGTACCAGACAATCCAGTGATTGACATCATGAGCAACTGGGACATCAACCAAGTCAACGTACCTGACCATCCGATCCCGTCAGTCGCCTCTTACAACAAACATGGGTTGCTGAAGACCTATTCTATATCTTCACGGGGGTGCTCTTTCGTACGGGGCCTTACAGGACCGCTCGGCCGTGTGGTCACGCTTCCCGGAGTCCCTTATTCCAATGCGATATTTTTTTTTAATTTATTTTTAAATTTTTTAAATTGGTTATCACTTTATTTTATGCGGTAGTTGTAGCTAATAGGTTGTGATACAGATCATCTCCAGTTCGACATGTTCCTCCCTAACACAGATGTATCCACAAACATCCAACTTTAAAGTGAGTGAGTATGGTTTTACGCCGCTTTTAGCAATATTCCAGCAATATCATGGCGGGGGACACCAGAAATGGCCTTCACACATTGTACCCATGTTGGGAATCGAACCCGGGTCTTCGGCGTGACGAGCGAACGCTTCAACCACTAGGCTACCCGACCGCCCCTCCAACTAAAGAAAGCATAGCAGGTTGCTAATGATTAAATACGAGTGGAGGTGTCTGAAACAACATACTTTGTACCTTGTTGTAATTTATTACATCCGTTAAACATAATAGGATTGAGAGTTTGGAATTGGAGAAATATTAAGTAGCGACAATAATTTGCGAAATATTGCAATTTTATGTTATTGATAAATATAAAGTATATCAATTTAAGCAAACGTTATGAAGAGTTGTATAAATGCCTTTAAAATATTAATTGTTAATGTGGGAAGACACACACACATATATATATATATATTTATTTATATATATATATATATACGTTATAACATTATTGAAGGTCCTTTATTGAATTTAACAAGCAAAATTGGCATGAGCAAATGAATGTGACATTTGTTTTTTTAAATAAAGATAAATTACGTTTCGACCACTAGACCGACGAAGCTAAAACTATACATATATCATCCTTCCATGACATGCTTGTTTATTTGTGTGTTTCTTGCTTTACGCCGAATTCAAATAATTAATTATGTAAATAACCGATTCTGGACTTGACACTCCTGAGATGACGATGACATGCATCAACCAAGTCAGCGAGTCTGACCACCCGATCGCTTTAGTCACCACGTGCCTAGTCGCCTCTCTTGACAAGGATGAGTTGCTGAAGCCTAAGTGTAACCCGGATCTTTATGTGGGATAAGTGCGCGTAGAATGCCGATTTTATTATACTGAAGTACTGGAGTACAGTGTTGGGTGGCTCTAGCATGGCGAGTATAGGTTGGAGTACAGTGTTGGGAGGCTCTAGCATGGCGAGTATAGGCTGGAGTACAGTGTTGGGAGGCTCTAGCATGGCGAGTATAGGCTGGAGTACAGTCTTGGAAGGTTCTAGCATGGCGAGTATAGGCTGGAGTACAGTGTTGGGAGGCTTTAGCATGGCGAGTATAGGCTGGAGTACAGTGTTGGGAGGCTCTAGCATGGCGAGTATAGGCTGGAGTACAGTCTTGGAAGGTTCTAGCATGGCGAGTATAGGCTGGAGTACAGTGTTGGGAGGCTCTAGCATGGCGAGTATAGGCTGGAGTACAGTCTTGGAAGGTTCTAGCATGGCGAGTATAGGCTGGAGTACAGTGTTGGGAGGCTCTAGCATGGCGAGTATAGGCTGGAGTACAGTGCTGGGAGGCTCTAGCATGGCGAGTATAGGCTGGAGTACAGTGTTGGGAGGCTCTAGCATGGCGAGTATAGGCTGGAGTACAGTCTTGGAAGGTTCTAGCATGGCGAGTATAGGCTGGAGTACAGTGTTGGGAGGCTCTAGCATGGCAAGTATAGGCTGGAGTACAGTGTTGGGAGGCTCTAGCATGGCGAGTATAGGCTGGAGTACAGTGTTGGGAGGCTCTAGCATGGCGAGTATAGGCTGGAGTACAGTGTTGGGAGGCTCTAGCATGGCGAGTATAGGCTGGAGTACAGTGCTGGGAGGCTCTAGCATGGCGAGTATAGGCTGGAGTACAGTGTTGGGAGGCTCTAGCATGGCAAGTATAGGCTGGAGTACAGTGTTGGGAGGCTCTAGCATGGCGAGTATAGGCTGGGGTACAGTGTTGGAAGGTTCTAGCATGGCGAGTATAGGCTGGGCTACAGTGTTGGGAGGCTCTAGCATGGCGAGTATAGGCTGGGGTACAATGTTGGAAGGTTCTAGCATGGCGAGTACAGGCTGGGGTACAGTGTTGGAAGGTTCTAGCATGGCGAGTATAGGCTGGAGTACAGTGTTGGGAGGCTCTAGCATGGCGAGTATAGGCTTGAGTACAGTGTTGGGAGGCTCTAGCATGGCGAGTATAGGCTGGAATATAGTGTTGGGATGCTCTAGCATGGCGAGTATAGGCTGGGGTACAGTGTTGGAAGGTTCTAGCATGGCGAGTATAGGCTGGGGTACAGTGTTGGAAGGTTCTAGCATGGCGAGTATAGGCTGGAGTACAGTGTTGGGAGGCTCTAGCATGGCGAGTATAGGCTGGAGTACAGTGTTGGGAGGCTCTAGCATGGCGAGTATAGGCTGGGGTACAGTGTTGGAAGGTTCTAGCATGGCGAGTATAGGCTGGAGTACAGTGTTGGGAGGCTCTAGCATGGCGAGTATAGGCTTAAGTACAGTGTTGGGAGGCTCTAGCATGGCAAGTATAGGCTGGAGTACAGTGCTGGGAGGCTCTAGCATGGCGAGTATAGGCTGGAACATAGTGTTGGGAGGCTCTAGCATGGCGAGTATAGGCTGGGGTACAGTGTTGGAAGGTTCTAGCATGGCGAGTATAGGCTGGGGTACAGTGTTGGAAGGCTCTAGCATGGCGAGTATAGGCTGGAGTACAGTGTTGGAAGGTTCTAGCATGGCGAGTATAGGCTGGGGTACAGTGTTTGGAGGCTCTAACATGGCGAGTATAGGCTGGGGTACAGTGTTGGAAGGTTCTAGCATGGCGAGTATAGGCTGGGGTACAGTGTTTGGAAGCTCTAGCATGGCAAGTATGACTGGAGTACAGTCCTGGGAGGCTCTAGCATGGCGAGTATAGGCTGGAATACAGTGTTGGGAGGCTCTGACATGGCGAGTATAGGCTGGAGTACAGTGTTGGGAGGCTCTAGCATGGCGAGTATAGGCTGGAGTACAGTGTTGGAAGGCTCTAGCATGGCGAGTATAGGCTGGAATACAGTGTTGGGAGGCTCTGACATGGCGAGTATAGGCTTAAGTACAGTGTTGGAAGGTTCTAGCATGGCAAGTATAGGCTGGAGTACAGTGCTGGGAGGCTCTAGCATGGCGAGTATAGGCTGGAATATAGTGTTGGGATGCTCTAGCATGGCGAGTATAGGCTGGGGTACAGTGTTGGAAGGTTCTAGCATGGCGAGTATAGGCTGGGGTACAGTGTTGGAAGGTTCTAGCATGGCGAGTATAGGCTGGAGTACAGTGTTGGGAGGCTCTAGCATGGCGAGTATAGGCTGGAGTACAGTGTTGGGAGGCTCTAGCATGGCGAGTATAGGCTGGAGTACAGTGTTGGGAGGCTCTAGCATGGCGAGTATAGGCTGGGGTACAGTGTTGGAAGGTTCTAGCATGGCGAGTATAGGCTGGAGTACAGTGTTGGGAGGCTCTAGCATGGCGAGTATAGGCTGGAATACAGTGTTGGGAGGCTCTGACATGGCGAGTATAGGCTTAAGTACAGTGTTGGAAGGTTCTAGCATGGCGAGTATAGGCTGGAGTACAGTGTTGGGAGGCTCCAGCATTGCGAGAGAAAGGCTATTTCGTCCCAATATGAAACAAGCTTGCGACAAGTTTTCATATTGTGAAAAAGACTATACATTCTTCCGGACAGCAACGTGCCGCTTGAGCGAGCCATTTGTGTTGATCTGTTTCTTGATAGAGGTAAACGTACACGCGGTGTCACAATACAGTCTGCTGTACACAACACAGATTTAGTATGTGGGATTTGTGTAGCTGGACATACTGAAACAATGCGTCTAGCGATATGACAATGTTGTTTGCGTGAGGTTAACAATTAAGCTATTCACTTCAGCAGAGCGTTCGCACAGTCACAGTAACCCGATAGTCCCCTGATGGCGACATTGCAAGTGCAACTTCAAGTGTGAGTCAACACAAATATATACTTTCCATATCTTCTTGAAAACACAAGGCATATATATATATAGTTCCGTAGGGGTTCGGGTTAGCATAGGACCTGCTTGTCCTGAGAGGTCAATACATTGTGTCGGGTGGTCATGTTCCTTATCCCTTGCCTGATTACTTGAGTTTAAGCCCAGCCTCGTTACATAAAGGCCGGGCTGACATAGCAGGACTACTGCGGCGTTAAACAACATTCATTTCACTTATTAACGAAGCTGATGAAATAAAGCTTTTCCACTCCAGTATTTATTCAAAAACTCCCAACGCCGTCTTTAACCCATTCCACAGTTAGGCTACTGTAAAGATATATCATATACTCGTCTTTTAGACGGAGTCGGTATCGTGTAGTCAGGTTCGTTGACTTGGTTGATGCATGTCATCGTATCCCAACTGTGTAGGTCAATGCTCAAGAAGTGAATCGCTGGATTGTCTCGAATATTTACAGACAGCCGCCATACATCTTGAATATTGCCGAGTGCGATGTTAAACAACAAACCGGGCGGTCGGGTAGCCTAGTGGTTAAAGCGTTCGCTCGTCACGCCGAAGACCCGGGTTCGATTCCCGACATGGGTACAATGTGTGAAGCCCATTTCTGGTGTCCCCCGCCGTGATATTGCTGGAATATTGCTAAAAGCGGCGTAAAATCAAACTTACTCACTCACTAAACAACAAACCAACAAAGGAACAAACAAATATACAGAGTTCGCCGTAGCGGTGAACAGGATAGAACATAGCTGTCTCGGATCGATAAGTGTTCAATCATTGCTCGCAATGTGTTACCGAGGCCGCCATGTCATGAACCTATAATATAGATAACAACATACCTGAGCTTACGCTGACCTGGATTCTGCAGCTACACCGGATCATAACATTCAGCATGTGAGCGAGAGACTCTCAAGCGTATTCTACTTGTGCAGTACACGCAATACAGCCGAACTATCGGATTGCGTCTTTCTCGGAAGGTCACTGATTCATTACGTTTCCTAGAAAAGGCTCTTCCACGGGATTTGTAACGTTATTGCTTGATGCGTGGATGAGTTTATAGTGTAAGTAGGGTGACCTATCTGCTAATGTGTTCATCGTACACTATCGTAGGTATCCAAATCACATTGTGAGTTTGTTGTTTAAGGCCACACTCAGTAATATTCCAACAATCTGAGATGTTATATTTGCTTTAGACTAACATATGGTCTCTGAAATGAACATATCGTACAGAAAAAAACAGTTGTTCAGTTATCTTAATAAAAATATAATAAAAAGGGAGCCCAGTGATTCTCTTCATTTTCAGATACTGCAGTAATCTAGGCTTGCCAAACATTATAGACTTGCATGGGCTGTAGTTGATATATTTGTATCAGGATCTGTAAGACAGACTATATTTGTTTGTTTGTGTGTTTGTCTATTTTTTATTTAACGCCGCACACAGCATTTGTCCAGCTATATGACGGCAGTCTATAAATAATCGAGTCTGGATCAGACAATCCAGTGCTATAGCCCTTACCTGAGCAAGTCTAGATTTTCAACACGTTCCATCTCACTAGGTCTCCTCTTCAGTTCAAATAGAGTTTTCTCCCGAAATTGTATATTTACCGAGACAGAGCGTTAGTTAGACTTGCAGAAGTGACTAATAAGGCAATGCTTATTAGTTAAATGATATATTCTAGAATATATAAATAATAAGAACAAGTTGTCCCCTTAAGAGACCGGCGTTCTTTGTGTCCGGTATTCCAGACTATTATAAGGCTAGAATTACTGTACACCCCTGGAATTATCATTCAGTGCAGCCTTGGAGCAATGCTAAGCGTTAGTCTATGAGCCGAGTGTACACATGTGGTTGTCTTAAGCTTGTAACACACATTGGTAGCCTCCCATTGATAAAGGATCAATGAAACAGTTAAAACATTGTGGTTCTAATCAGCGCGTACGACCATTTCGCTTCTTGTCTTATGTAGAGATGAACACAACATGAGGGACGTTCATTATGTTTCAGTCTGCTTATCTGGGTATTGCAAACATGAAATAGTTCAGATCAGGATAACTGACTTATGTAGAGATGAACACAAAACGAGGGACGTTCATTATGTCTTAGTCATACGTATCTGGGTATTGCAACTTTAAACAGGAAATAGTTCAGGTCAGGTTAACTTGGCTTACGGTTTTATTGACACAGAAACAAAGTGAGATTGGCTTTTACATACGATGATCCAGATCAGATCGCATTGGCTCGTTTTATGCTTCTTTCTTTGGCATTTAATAGTTTCAGGAAGTTTCCTCAAAGTGGCGTCACTTCCATTGATCACATGGCTTCCTCGTTCTATTGTTAAAGTTTTCCTGGTTTTCGTAAATCAATTTTACAAAATTTCTGAAGATTTGAAGCAATGGTAAAATGCGGGTATTGAGAAACCTCTTTTCTGAAAAGTATACACCAATAGTCCTGTCTTTTTATGTCTAGGTGAACGTAAGAGGTTTTCATTGAATCATAAATTAACTTCTTTGATAAATGATATATCAAGAATACTTCCACCTATGCAATCACCAGCCAGAAGAATAGACTTGAGTTGAAAGCATCAGAAAACTGCGGGTATTCAACAACCTCGTTTCAAAAAGGAATGCATCAATATTCTTGTCTTCACATGTCTAATGAAATAGTAAAGGTCTCTGTAATCAAAATTAACTTCATATAAATGTATGATGTTCCCAACACTAAGTCTGCATTGACCTACGCAGCCACCAGCCAGAAGAAGTCGGACGTGAGGTGTTCCTTGCCCCCATGCGGGTACCAGCACGTGTTGCCCAGGGCCTTCCCAGGAATCAGGCCCTGGTGACACTTTGCTAATGCTGCATAGTATTCCTTCTTGTCACTTTGTTGGCCAAAACATACCGCACCAGGTGGAGTACTGCCCATGTTCCGGACAGTTACAACTCTTCCTTCTGGCGCTGTCAGCCAAGAGAAGTCCTTTGTGGTGTGCTCTCGGCCGTCGTAGGAATACCAGCAAGTGTCCCCTTTCGCCTTGCCACCGACCAGTCCGTGTTGCGTGTTGGCCACTGCGGTCCACAATTTTCCAGCACCGTCATTCTGATGGCCGAGGCTTACAGCAGTGCTAGGGAAGTGATATTGGCTGCCCACGAAACAGTAACTCATCTTCACAGATCTGAAAGTATATTTTGACAGCATATAAATGACGCGGGAAATATTGAGTACATGTTTCAGTTCTATTGATATCGACCATGACCAGTAAACAATGTTTCCCTCCGTGTATTGGACTCTTGTGTGGACTCCGGGTGGACTCCTGGGCGGAATGACCCGAATATCCAACGTGTGTCATGAGAGCTCACTTAAGTGGAGATCAAGTGGACAGAGATATTTCGCTGTCATGAATACCACATTGCTGTTTCACATACATTTTGCACATGCGAATACCATGAGGGTTAGTGTTTGTTTGGTGTTTAACGCCGCACTCGGCAATATTCCAGCTATATGACGGCGGTAAATAATCGAGTCTCGACCAGACAGTCCAGTAATTGATGTCATGAGCATCGATCGGTGCAATTTGGATACGATGACATGCATCAACCAAGTCAGGGGGTCTGACCATCCGATCTCGCCAGTCGCCTCTTACGACAAGCATAGTCGCCACTTACGGCACAGCAGCATGGGTTGCTGAAGTCCTGTACTAACGCGGATCTTCATGGGGCAGATACCACGAGGGAGACGGAAGACTTCTGGCTATACCGCGGGTCTTTCCCAGCAACAAGTATTGCACCACTGCTTGATATATGACACAACTGGGCTGTCGCTGGCGTGCTATTTTTAGCGCGACCTCACATAAACGCGATTTTAGTGAGCGAGCTGGGTTTAACGCCGCTTTTAACAGTATTATAGTTATATCGCGGCGTGTCAGCTTAATGTGTGAGGAAAGCCCGAAGTGATGCTTGTCTCGGACGTTTACCACTTCGGTGAAAACCAGGGGCACGGGTATGGTGCTGACAAACCTAGAAACATAACCGGGGCGAACCGGATCTCGAACCCATAATCATAGGTTTCTGGCGTGCCCAATTGACGCAACTCTGCAACGCGAATCGCGGCGCCTTAGACGACTTGGCCGCCCGTGCCCCAAAACGCGATTTTAATTAGGTCAGTCCCAACCATATTGCTCTCCGATAAGTGGGGTTGACTTGGTGTAGTGTGTATAAATCACATGACTAACATGTGAGTATAAAACCTTCAGCAGCGACCCCGATGTGTTGGTGTCAAGTAATACAGTGATAAAAAGAACGCACCCGGAAACAAATTATCCTCTATGACAAGGTTTTCAGAACAACAAAGCATGACTCATGTCTACTTTCGCTTTCAGTTTGTCATACAGATCAGTGGATATATTGCAAGCTCTGTTGGCATCAAAACAACAACAACAACAACATCAACAACAACAATAGTAATAACAGTGTTAATAACAACAATCGTAACACTACTGATACTAATATTGATACTAACAATTACAACATCAATAATGTTTCTGGTATAATTAAATCGGGGCAACCCACTTCATCGTAAACGTAGACGTGCCACAGGCACACATGCATTACTCTTTTAGCATTGTCGACACGTTTTAATTTCCATGTTTTGCTGTTCATAGGGAACGGCACGTACACAAGGGTTGTGGTGTCATTAAATTCTTACCGTCGCTCAACACTGTATTTATGCCACGGCCGTCGCCTGCTGTCGATTGTCTCCCGCTGTAGGCTTCAAGCTCATATGCACCTGACCCCCTTCACAATCTGCTTCCTGTTACTTGCAATCGAATCCACTCGGCTTATGCCGCTATCTGATATCTCGTGCAACAATGGAGTAGTGACATCACTCACCTTAGGTTGACAACTGCCGCCAGTTCGTGTTGTGTCATGTGATAGTCACGTGAACGAAAAGTTTTCTAATATTGAGTCCTACTGTTATGTTGGTCACTGTGTACTGAAGCTTACGTAGCGCACACACAATAAAGACGTCCATTGACAGTGAGTGTGCTGGATTACATTTTGACGTAAATCTATGCGAGCGGTAGACATTTACCATGCTAGAAAAACTCATTACCACGAGTCGCATCTGGGATTCGAACTCAGGAGTCCGTTAACATGCACGGTGAATGACTCATCATAGCGTCACGCTTGGCTCCATTCCCTAAATGATTACAATGTGTGAAGACCACTTCTTAAGTCCCCAGCAAACATCGTGCTTGAATATTTCTAAAACGGCCTAAAACCACATTCACTTACTTGCTATTGCTCCTTTGTCCAATGGGCCATCCGTTCCTCTACGTTGGTTGGTTGGTTGGTTGGTTGTTTAACGCCGCAGCAATATTACCGCTACATGACGGCGGTCTGTAAATAATCGAGTCTGGACCAGACAATCCAGTGATTGACATCATGAGCTTCGATCCACGCAATTGGGATCAATGACATGCATCAACCAAGTCAGGGAGCCTGACCACCCGATCCCCTTAGTCACCTTTTACGACAAGCATTCCTCTATGTAAAGTCATAACTTTTTGATAGGTCACAATTTCAAGATTTGATATTAACTGACAAGAAAAACAAGAGAAGTGTAGAAATATGGACGACTGGTGTCATTTGTTGTGTTCTGTGAAATGCAGGGCAAGGAAATAAAGGGCAAGTTCACACGGAAATGAACCAATTTTGCTTGTACTTTTTCCACATTAAAAGTGTTAACATAGAAGTGTCATAGACAAAAATATAAAAACATCATATTTAATTAACATATTTTTTGCGTTAAAACGATTTATATTTTTCACATTTACCAAGTGTTCTATTTCCATAACAAAAACACCATGGCTTATGCCCCTTGCAATATGACGTCATTGGTGCCAATTGATAAACATTATGACGTCATCATGCTTTGTTAGAGCCGCTTCACGTGGTGTAGGGGCAGTTTTGTGATTCTAGCGTCTCAGATGCCAGCCAGAATTGTGTTATGCTGAGTCACCACTGCGCCGGAGTGTGTCGTAGACCATGTTGTTTTACCGCAAACTGGTCCTTGATATCTTTTGCGTTGAGAATAGACAGGGACCCAGTTGAATTGGCACCAATTACGTCATAATCTAAGGGGGATAACTCAGGCCTATTTCGCTCGTAAAACGAAGGCCTCATAACGACATATCATTTTAACACTATTGTGAGCTTCCTACTTTCACTGTGAAAAAAAATGAGCGTATATTTTCAAACACAGATACTAACTAATTCTAAAATTGCGTTTTGTTTAGAAAAAGAAAGAAAGTGATTTTTGCGTGTACACTTCCCCTTTAAGGTTAACAAAGTGGGTCACCCAGAATAATTGTCACATTCGGTGCATACTTGTTTGTTTCTTTGTTGTTAACTCCACAATATTCCAGCGATATGATGACGACCAGTACGTAATGGAGTCTGGACAGTAAAAACCAGTGATTGATGTTATGAGCAGCGTCCAATGCCGATTGGGGTACGCAACAACCAACCAAGCTTCAGCACTGATTCAATAATATATTTATTTCTCTATTGTTTAACATCCCATTTAACATCATTCCAGCTGTATGGTTTTTGAATAATCTAGTCTGGACCAGACACTCCAGTGATTGACATCGACCTACGTTTGTTTTTGTTTGTTGTTTAACGTCACACTCAGCAATATTCCAGCTATATGACGGCGGTCTGTAAGTATTCGAGTCTGGACCGGGCAGTTGAGATACGATGACACGTATAAACCAAGTCAGCAAGCCTGACCATTCGATCCCGTTGGTCACCTCTTACGACAGACCCGTGAAGATTCCGGGGTAGAATAGGTCTTCAGCAACCCAAGCTTGCCGTAAAAGGTGACTATGCTTGTCGTAAAAGGCGACTAACGGGATCGGGTGGTCAGGCTCGCTGACTTGGTTGATGCATGTCATCGATCCCAATTGCGTGGATCGATGCTCATGATATTAATCACTGGATTGTCTGGTCCAGACTCGATTATCTACAGACCGCCGTCATATAGCTGGAATATTGCTGAGTGCGGCGTTAAACAACAAACCCACCCACCACCCACCACCTCTTACGACAAACATGGGTTGCTGGAGTCCACTTCTAACCCAGATCAATATGTTCGATATTGTTTATTGGTGTTCTATACACTAACAAGCCAGAAGAAGTCTGACGTGGTAAGTTCTTTGCAGCCATACGGGTACCAGCACTTGTTGTCTCTGGCCTTGGCAGGGATCAGACCATTTTCACACACTGCCAATGCTGCAAAGTATTCCAGGTTGTCGCTCTGTCGACCAAAACATATCACTTTAGGTGGCGGACCATTGCCGATGTTTCTGAAAGAGACCACTCTCCCTTCTGGTGCTATAAGCCAAGAGAAGTCCTTTGTGGTGTGCTCTCGTCCCCCGTAGGAATACCAGCAAGTGTCCCCTTTCGCCTTGCCACCGACTGGTCCATGTTGCGTGTTGGCCACTGCGGTCCACAGTTTTCCAGCACCGTCATTCTGATGGCCTAAGCTTACAGCATTGTCAGGAAAACCATAAATGCTGCCGACAAAGCTGTGGCTCATCCTTCACAGATCTAAAAGTATAGAAATACAAGGTAAGAGATAAGCTTTGAGAGATAAGCATTCTAAAACTACCATTCTAAACTATTCCAGGTTACGGTTGGTCCTAAGGTGCGACTTAGTGAATCGGGCGTCATCGTACGTAGATCGTTGCTCATATAACTGATGTGTCTGGTGTGGAATCGATTATTCACAGGCCGTTGTCATAAGGCTGGAATATTACTGATGTCGGCTTTGTGTGTGCATGTATGCATGTATGTGCGTGCGTATGTATGTATGCGTACCAGAAAGGGCTGCACTCATTACTTGGACCACACACGTTTCATTTAAGTTGGTTGGTTGGTTGGTTGGTTGTTTAACGCCGCGCTCAGCAATATTCCAGCTATATGACGGCGGTCTGTAAATAATCGAGTCTGGACCAGACAATCCAGTGATTGATATCATGAGCATCGATCGTTTCATTTCAACCACCATCAAACTTTCGTTTTTCCGACAAAATAGTGTAGTGGATCGACAACAATTTCAGATACGTATAGGTCAAGGTATTTCTATGTCTACTGCATTTACAGCCTTAAATGTCAGATAAACTAATCATGCAAGGTATGTTGCGTACACCATTAGGAATGTATGTCTACAGTATAGAGGCAACGTTGTAATGTTTCTTCTGTCTGTGGTTTGTATGATTATTTAGTGATATCGTAAACTTGAAATTGTGAAGTCAAAGTTGCTTTTTATATCGAGTTATAGATACCTAAGATTTATTAATTGATACCGCGAAATCAATTGGTAGATATCACAAATTCGGGAATTTGAAACCCGTGAGTAACCGGGGTAGAATAGATCTTTGGCAACCCATGCTTGCCGTAAAAGGCGACTGATTGTCAAAAGAGGTAACTAATGGGATCGGGTGGACTTGGTTGTTACATGTCATTGTATCCCTAATTGCGTAGATCGATGCGCATGATGTCAACCACAGGATTGTCTGGTCCAGATTCGATCATTTACAGACCTCCGTCATACAGCTGGAATATTGCTGAGTGTGGCGTTTAACAAACAAACAAACAAACAAACGAACCTTCGACTTTGAACCGCACCAATACGAGTTTTCGGTATATGAAGTGACACATTTAAATCTGTCCAAGCTCCCGAGACACCATTTAATGATATCTTTGTGCAATGAAATAATATTCATATCACAACTTAATTTTGTTTGCAGGATATTTAGGTTGAATATATCAGTTGAGGGCTATGACTAATTTGATATTTCGATGTCGTACATGAACTCTTATCTAAAAACTTAATTATACACCAAGAAGCCACTACTTAATGTCACAAAATCCTATTTGAAACAAATAATAGTATTATTAAGAATGACTATTTTACTGAATCACAATTTGCCTTTTGTCGTAAAAAAACAATTTTGTGATATCAAAGTTCATATATTGATATACAAAATGAATTATTGATATCCTAAATAGGTACTTAGTAGTAAACTGAGAACGGGCAAACACATGATTCTAGGGCACCGGTGGGGTAGTCTAGTGGTTAAAGCTTTCGCTCGTCACGACAAAGGCCCGGGTTCAATTCCCCACATGCATACAATGTTGGAAGCCCATTTCTTGTGTCCCCCATCGTGATATTGCTGGAATATTGTTAAAAGGGGCATACAACCATATTCACTCACTCTTCCTGCTACAGAAGACACATGTCGGTGAACGGATCAAGGGAAGTTACTCTATTTTCTCATCAAGTTAAACGATCCGCTAAAAATATTGGAACGTCCTTGACATTTACATTTACATAAAATATAAAAAAAATTGGTCCCTTATTCGTCCCGGCTGATCTGACACTGTATGCAGAAGCTCAAGAAATAACTTATATTCAAGGGTTATCTTGTAAATTCGCGTATTGTGCCCAACGTTACCTTGGTTATCATCATGCGTCACCTGTTTTCGACACACTGTACCCTCGCATAGATGCTACGTTTGACACTAGGATATAACTAGATGAATAGATCGGTATGGTTACCTGTGTAGGAGTGCTTGAGTCAGAGTCACGACGGTTGTCTGGCTGTTGTGGGGATGTGCAACTGACCTGGATGCTTTCCTCAGCTCAGCCATGTATTGATTTTTCTCCGGCTGCGAGAGACCGATGCTGTCAGACTGCAGCCACACGCACTTGCGGTGGAGCCTGAGAAATAGTGTACGGAGGAACCCCATTATTCCGGACGTTATCTTTTCAGGTGACATCGTGCCAGTGAACACATATCCAGATTTTAAATCATTAGTGAATGTAAGTCAGTATAATTTTTGGGGGAAAGCTGAAGTGATGCAGGTCTCAGACGCTTTCCATGTGGATGGAGCACAATGGCTTGAATATTGTTCCGAGGGACAAGGACCAGGACCAATCTGGGATTCTGTGTGTGTGTGTGCGTGTGCGCGTGCGCGTGCGTGTGCGTGTGTGTGTGTGTGTGTGTGTCTGCTCGTACTTGTCCGGACTAATGCCGGTTTTATAGGGCTCGTCCACTGAAATACCATATAGTTTAACGTGAATACTCCACTCAGACACAGTACACTGCACACAAGAGCAAACCAGTATCTATTGGTCTTTTGGATCGTAGATAGACCAAAACTAACAATGAGTCACAAATTGTGATGTCATCAAAAGCAGAAACAAATGCCAAATTTCAGTTTGGCAATTTAGGGGAAAACTGTGCAGAGCATGGTCTAAACACGGAGGCTGCAAAAAGATCATAAATGTCGCGATAAATGGACACATGTTTTTGAGCCCAACCACTGAACAGAAGATAATATATAATTCCCACGTTAGCGTTTCATTTTCATCATCAGCAAATAAAAGCAGTCAACCCTGTATGAAGCCAATTTTACAATCAATTTCTTTCGTTTTACCTCCATCGCTTCACCTTGCACAAGAAGGCGTTGCAGTAAACGCACTTTAACCTTCCATTGGCTTCCCATATCAAGAAGTTTGACATAACAAATTCGCTGTTCTTTGTGATGCCCAAATATGGTTATAAAACGTGTATCTAAGTAATCATTATGCTGTTAAAGAATGTGGAAAGAAATGAGGCTTGCGCTTGTGACTTTGTTGGCGGTGTTACATAGACGCAGTAAGTGTCAACGCTAAATGGCTCACTTCGTGGACAACGTCTGTCAGTGCCCCGACGTTTTCTACGGAATCCCATACGTTAATCCCTGTAGGCGATCTCCGCTTCAAGAACCCCCAACCTTCAGTGTCATGGGGACCGGAAGTTAGGGATGCACAACACCCCACGCCATCGTGCATTCAAAGGTCAGGGTTCACAATCAGCTAATCATATGCCTATTGAAAAGTGATATGTGCACACTCCGCATATATCAGGAAAATTTGCACCGATATGGTTTACCCCTAGAATATTTATGTAATGAATTATCAGTGGTTAACCTTTGGATTTTGAAGCTTTGCATGCATATAAGCTTACATCTAGAGTACCTCCAAACTGGATTATTAGAGATCATATAAATATTATTGTAAATCCTTCAGCTTCAAAATAGGACATGGCTACTTCTACTTCTAATAATGATGATGTGTATATACAATTTTTAACTAGTCAAGAAATTTGACGCATTCATGAAAATTCATGAAAATTCATGAAAATATGTGTGGTGCTTCATTAAGTTCGAGGAGCATACTACTGCATTTTGAACAGGAAAGACTGACTAAAGGCAGTGAGAATCGGGAATGTATATTGTTTGCTGACGTGATTATTTGTCACTAACTAGCTTGCCGAGACGCCCCATACTGTGCGAATTGCTGTGCAGGTGCATCCTATGCGTGCAAGAAACCTATGTCCTGGGTTGATCAGCACCATACGTGGGTATGCCAAGAGCTGCATCACTTCTGGCTTTCCTACCGCATGAAGTTGACACGCCGAGATGTAACTGAAATACTGTTCAAAGCGGCATTGCGTCCAACTCTTCCACTCATAACTGACATCGTGGCTTGAAAGGGTTGGTTTTAATGCAAACAACACGTTTGATTGATGACCAGAAGGAAAGACTCTCACTAGCACCTGGTTATAATTGTAGGAACTACACTGAAATGTAGCTTGGGGAAAATGAATGACACCGTTGTGTTTCAGACCCAGGAGAAAGCCAGGAGTATTGCACAAGACGATGAAAGGACAGCATAACAATAATCAGAGCCCGAGTAAAAGCCCATATTTAACTTGTGATATGTCTTCTTACCACTGTAGACTTATGGTCATGTTCCGATGTAATAATTTCAGACTTGCTGTCGAACTGGGGCGTCACAACAACATCCCATATAATGAACGTGCCTGCACTTTCTGTTTTTCAAAGGGACATAACCATGTTGAAGATGAATTCCATGTTGTTATGATTTGTGACCAGTATTCTAGAGCAAGAAGAAACTCTTTTCCCAAGCGTCTCGTTACCCCTCCCTCTATTGAGAATTTTATAAGACTTATGTCAGCTGAAAACGAAGAAATTATCACCTTAGGTAAATTTCTCTCCCAAGTCATGAACATCGAAAGGAAATAGTGTGGAACGGTAAATCATTATTAAATCTACCCAGTATGCAAATATATATACAGTATATTTCCATTGTATTATGGGCCGGTGGCCTGAAGTACCGAATAAATTTGTCTGTCTGTCTGTCTGTCTAAAAGCCAATGTATCATAATGTTTTGTTGAGGTATGAGTTTACGGACCTTTAAATAGTCTATCGCCGTGCGTCAGCTCAGCGTCTCAGGAAAATCCTCGTAGGTAACAGACGCAACTCGTAGATATTGGTGCACTTTATATACCACTCAGACGCCCATCTGTACACCCAACCACACAATCCCTCCCCCAAACACCGATCATTGACGTCCCTGAAAAAAACACCTCGATTAACGTTGTGGTGGGTGCCACCGGTGGGGTAGCGTACGCTCACCTTTTCACGAACACCTGGTATCGTTTCTATTTGACAGTGATTCATAAACACAAGCTCATGATATAGTCGGAATCGTGCAGTCGACTCTGCTTTATGCAGATATTTCTATTGGATATGGAAAGGGTTTTGTCACTTTATTTACATTCAGTTGTCGGGTCTATGTTGACGTCTACCTCAGCTTACAGTGTCATGTACACGTGTTATCTACTCTGGCAAGTCAACTAGTATGGGCGTTATGCAACTCAGCTGGGATGTACGTTTTATACTTCTGCAAGTAACTGTTACGTACATTTATCACCTTGGGCAAGTTAACTAATACACGTGTTATCTACTGGGGAAACTCAGCTGGTATGTACGTCATATACTCGGGTAACTCAATTGATATGTACGTCATACACTCGCGCAACTCAGCTGGTATGTACGTTATACACTCGGGTAACTCAGCTGGTATGTACGTCATATACTCGGGCAACTCAATTGGTATGTACGTCAAACACTCGAGCAACTCAGCTGGCATGTACGTCATATGCTAGAGCAACTCAGCTGGTATGTACGTCATATACTCGAGCAACTCAGCTGGCATGTACGTCATATACTCGGGCAACACAGCTGGTATGTACGTCATATACTCGAGCAACTCAGCTGGCATGTACGTCATATGCTCGTGCAAGTTAACCGGGCTGTGAAGCAAATAGAATACTGACTGATTGATAGAATCCTACCTATTCAACCACCCGGGAAACACATTCACTCTAAATATTTAGGTGGTTAGGTAAACAGACGTTTTGTACGTAGCTATAACTTAGATTGTGCACAGTAACCAGGTCAGCATGTGATAACTGTCCCTGCATAACACCGCGTTGCCGTCTACACACATAGCGGAGCCTAGAGCACACCCGTATTGTCAGGTATCAGGTAAGTTGAAATATGACATTACAATATAACATTGTCCTAAATATGTATAATGATTACAGCAGTGGTGTTACTGTGGATCCGTCTAGTGTATCTTGAAGCTCTTATACCTTAGAAAACAATATCTAAATTCATAAGTGTCCCTTCTCATTGTCAACATACTAGTTCCCTAACACTTATCATGTTAGCCTGCACTGGTAGAAGTCATACGATAAATATTGTTTGTCGTAATTGATTGCACTTTTTAGTCATCTTGACAAGAAAAGAATTCCTTTATGTGTCCGTCCCTACTTGAAAAATAAAGTACATTTACTCGTATACGCCATGTCTTTGAGTCACAGTATCCAGGTCATCATGTGATATACCACCCCGTATAACAGCGCCTCGATTTGTACACATAATGCAGTCTAGGGCTCACCTGTACGGTCGGGTGTAAGGTGAGTGAGTGAGTCAGATGGGTTTAACGCCGCTTTAAACAGTATTACGGTTATATCGCTGCATATCAGCTTAATGCGGGAGGAAAGCCCGAAGTGATGCAGGTCTCAGACGTTTACCACTTCGGTGAAAACCATGAGCACGGGTATGGTGCTGACAAACCTAGAAACATAATCGGGGCGAACCGGGATTCGAACCCACAATCATAGTGTATTAGTCACTAATATCTTAGAATACAATATCTTAATTCCTAATTGTCCCTTCTGATAGTCAGTTGATTAGACCCCAAATCATTATCCTGTCAGCCTGCACCGGTAGAAGTCATACAAAGACTATTTCTTGTCGTGATTGATTGCATTTTTAGTCACCTTGACATTCAAGAAGTCATACGAGAGCCCCAAAAGAGTTAGTCCCAACCATAGCGGTTTATTGCCATCTTTAGCAAATACAGGATTAAAAATCTTTATGTCAGGAAAGATCTGAACGCCTTGTTTTCCACATCTACCTACTTCATAAGACAGCTCGTGAATGCATACTTCTACCACTACTACTACTACTACTACTACTACTACTACTACTCCTACTACTACTACCACTACTACTACTAAAAATATAACAGTCTTCGCCAAGCTTGTGGTTTTGATTCCATTCATTGGACGACCCACAATTATGAAGAGGGCGTCATGAAAAATTATAAAATTAACTTTAACAGTTTCACTATCTTCCCATCTCAAAAAGAGTGACTTAAACAAAATCATAGATAGTAGTGTATTTGGCGTAACTGTCTGGACCATTAGAATCACCTGTCATGAGCAGCGGGACAAAAATAAACTGTGAACATAACACAGGAGTGAAATTATGTTACCAAAATCTATGAAATCATGAAATTGTTTCAGAATGTGGACAGGAATGAGGTTTGCGCTTGTGGCTTTGTTGGCGGTGTTTCAAATTGCGAGGCTACAGAAAGTGTCAACTCTAAATGGCCTTCTTCTGGGACAACGTTTGTCAGTGCTAGGCAAATCTCTTGACGTATTCTATGGAATCCCATACTCTAAGCCCCCTCTGGGCGACCTCCGCTTCAAGTACCCCCAGCCTTCAGAGTCTTGGGGACCGGAAGCTAGGGATGCACAGAAACCGACGCCATCTTGCATTCAACCTAAACATGCGTTTGTGCCTATTGAGACTTACAGACAGACCCCTGGTGATTACAGTGAAGACTGTCTTCATCTTACAGTGTGGGCGCCAACAGACAATGGTGGCCATTTAGCAGTGATGGTTTGGATCTACGGTGGGGGTTGGTATTTTGGATCTACACGACCGTATGAAGGTAAATACCTTGCAGCAGAGAATGACGTCATCGTTGTATCAATGAACTACAGATTAGGGCCTTTAGGCTTCAGCTACCTGGGGCCAGATACCATCCCTGGCAACATGGGCTTGATGGATCAAAGACTGGCCCTACAGTGGGTGAAAGATAACATTGCCAACTTTGGCGGGGATCCATCCCAAGTGACCATATTTGGAGAAAGTGCTGGTAGTGGCAGCGTAGGTCACCACTTAGTGTCACCTCTGTCACGCGACGTGTTTGACAAAGCCATCATGCAAAGCGGGACTCACATTTCTCCATGGGCTTACGCTGTGCCCAAAACAGCAAAACGAAAGATGAAGAGGTTTGCTGATCTCCTCGAATGTCCATCATCTTCAACTGATGCAGACATCTATGACTGCTTGAAGACAGCAGATGCCCAAACTATGGCTGACGTTCAGCTCGGTATGTTAGACGAAGGACTTGGATTCATACCAGTTGTGGATGGCTACTTTCTCCCCGATGACCCCACAACTCTTCTGTCCAGCGGTTCCATCAAACAGACCAGTGTATTGCATGGTTTTACTAAAGATGAAACAACACTGTTTTCGGCAAAAATGTTGATGCAGATGAGAAACGTATCGACATTACCGGAAACATTGATTTTAAGTCGCCCAGAGTATGATCGTCTTCTTTCAGTTGACTTTGCAAGTGGTAAAGGAATTCCAGAACCCCTTCGTCTGTTTTATGAAAGTCAGAAAGCCCCCTTAAAGGAGGCACACTATTTTGATGTCGTAAATCACTTGCTTTCGGATACGGAAATGAAATGTCCTCATCTTGAGTTTGACAGATTGTACACTGCTGCTAACCCTACTTATGTGTACAGTTTTAACCACCGGCTATCAATTATTCCCTATCCACAGTGGATAGGAGCAACTCACTCCTACGAGGTTGAGTTTGTGTTTGGTTTGGTCCTCGATGAGACTCTAGGATGTACACAGGAGGAGGTGGAACTCAGCAGGACCATCATGACCTACTGGACCAACTTTGCCAAGTCAGGGTGAGTGAGTGAGTGAGTGAGTGAGTATCAGGTATTAGTGCGCCAAGATACTCAGTCTGATATTGTCTGCAGTCGCAACAGTCTGCAGTCGCAACACTGTCGTTATCAGTACCTCAGTCTCATGCTATGATGGCATTTGATGCACATTTGGTTGGTTGGTTTGTGGTTTAATGCCGCACTCAACATTATTCCAGTTATATGACGGCGGTCTGTAAATAATCGAGTCTGGACCACACAATTCAGTGATTAATATCATGAGCATTAATCTACGCAATTGGGATCGATGACATGCATCAAACCAAGTCAGTGAGCCTGACCACCCGATCCCGTTAGTCGCCTCTTACGAGAAGCATAGTCGTCTCATATGGTAAGCATGGGTTGCTGAAGGCCTATTCTACCCGGACCTTCACGGGTCTTTGATGTACAGAACGTCACTTTGCACCACACACTTATACCGCATATACCTCGGTGAATGAGTTTTTCATTACATCAGTGATGGAAAACAACTTTACGTCAGTTACAAAAACTTAATGTCCAGAAATCATATACGCAGCGAGACCTATTTATCCTTTAAAAATAATTTTGATTAGGGGTGGGGTGTCGTTCGGGGTTGGATATGTAACTGGGCTCTAATAACTACATGTGCACAATGTATGAAGACCATTTGTTTGTGGTAGCCCGTCATGATATTTCTGGAATATTGCTGAAAGTGACGTAAAACAACACTGACCCGATCATGTTTACATGATACACAACATGCAGGCATTGTTAAAAACATCCTAGACGTTCAGAACATTTGACATCTATTGGCAGTGACCCTAACGCTCCGGTCCGAGTGAAGGTGGACTGGCCGGCCTCTGACAACACTGACCTCACCTACATGGCCCTTGACGTGGGCAACAACTTAGCAGCAGGACACGGGGTAGTCCATCACGAATGTGTCTTCATCAACAGGATTCTACCCATGATTACTACAGGTGCTGTTTATGATTGAATCTTAAGTATGATAAGATTATTGTCATTTTTAATGTATGTTCAGGTTATTTTGGGGTAATGTTTATTTTTAATACACAGTCGAATGGATTGACTTTATTCTTGTTTCATCTGGCCTCAAGTATATCAATTATCCGCCAAAACATATTAAGACAGAAGGCGTGTAAAATATTTGCGAGTAAAGGGCAAAATAGCGGTGAAAATTATACGAATGGATTACTAATAATCAGTGATTGGATCAGGTTGTTGTGAAAAGGGTAACATGTTCTACACTACCGGTAGCAACCCAAAACACTAAAAACGTAAAGAAATACCAAAGTAGATCGACGAGTTTCAGGAGGTGCCTTGCCTTTTTCCGTTCAAGGTCAAGTCTCATTCACATTGACAGAATCACTCTAAATTACACGTTTCCTTTATTAGCAGTAACGTTTTTGTCAATGTCCAATGAGTGAGTGAGTGAGTTCGGTTTAACGCCAATGTCCATTGAACCATCTATAGGAGTTGACTAGTTCCTGTAAATCGATCATGGTGTCAAAATACGAGGTTCTTCTTTAACATCATGGATCTAACTCTGCGATTAAACCACCACATAATCATCCCGGAACCGGTCCAAAAATTGACCTATATCGCTATGTCTATGGTATAATTTGAAGAACGGCTGAAAGCATAAATAACGCCAAACACAGCAACGTGTATAAATAGCCAAATGTATACTTACCGCCAAAAGAAACGCGAATACCATACTCGTTGGTTAATGTATGAAGACTTACTCATGTTCAAGAGATATTAGATTGGTTCGATGCACAAACAAACATAGTGGTATGTTGTGTGAACTGATGCTAATGAACGCATCGGGGCGGTCGGGTAGCCTAGTGGTTAAAGCGTTCGCTCGTCACGCCGAAGACCCGGGCTCGATTCCTGACATGGGTACAATGTGTGAAGTCCATTTCTGGTGTCCCCCGCCGTGATATTGCTGGAATATTGCTAAAAGCGGCGTTAAACCATACTCACTCACACACTCATGAATGCATCAAATGTGACATCATAGATCCATGACTCGAGAGGTACCATTTGTCCCGTGCAGGATTAGCGTGTACAGTTTGGAAATGACGTGCAGCGTATAGTGATAAGAATAAAGACACTCTGTGGAAACACTTGACTGATTGCTGGTTTTGTCATTAATGGGTACACATTGGAAACACCTCTTCTCAACTCACATGCTTCAAATATTGAGCTTCTAATCCAGGATTTGATTTTGATTCTTTGTTTCTCATCATCCTATCAATGCTAATTGGCTTCATGAAAGTGGTCAATGTGCAGGACCCGCATCATTCTACCGGGTACCCATGCACTGCTGGATGAACAGATGCATTCTTACATACATATATTTTTGTGCTTTGTAAAAAGGTCAACGTTAATAACTATTAGACTGCTTATTTTATTATTAACACTAAACAACTGTAGACAACCATACGAAATCGGGGACACGGTTCAGCTCAATAATGCACCCCCAAGTCCCGCCCTCCAAGTCCAAGCCAATCAGGAAACAGTAGACCGCGAGTGGGCGTGGACCATGTTGTATCATTGTGAGAATATTACTGGATTGGATCCAGGGAAATAATAAATAAAATTGTTGTGTTTCAGACCCACCGGAAGGGCAGGAGTACTGCACGAGAGGATGAAAGGACAGCCTAATAATAATCAGTAAAAATACATGGAACCTGATGATTTGTATGTGTCTGGTTTAACACTCTATTAAATAGTTTATCAGTTATATCATTGCATGCCAGCTGGGTGGAGCAGGGATATGCAAAGAAGCCCAGATCGGACACAGTTCTCGCAGTGAATGGACGCAACTCTACATAGATAATGTGACGCCTTCTCGCATCCACCATCACCCAAACCACACCCTTATATACCTAACTATGACTGCATGGAATAAATGATTTGCCTGGTTGTGCTGAGTTTACTTAAGCATTCAGTGAGTGTCATGTGATCGGATGTACGAGTGTGGGTTGGGTTTAACGCCGCTTTTAACAGTATTCCAGTTATATTGCGGCTCGGATGTACGAGCAGTCAACTGGCACATGCGTTATCTACTCAAGCAAGTCAACTGGCACATGTGTTATCTACTCAAGCAAGTCAACTGGCACATGTGTTATCTACTCAAGCAAGTCAACTTGCACATGCGTTATCTACTCAAGCAAGTCAACTTGCACATGTGTTATCTACTCAAGCAAGTCAACTTGCACATGTGTTATCTACTCAAGCAAGTCAACTTGCACATGTGTTATCTACTCAAGCAAGTCAACTTGCACATGTGTTATCTACTCAAGCAAGTCAACTTGCACATGTGTTATCTACTCAAGCAAGTCAACTTGCACATGTGTTATCTACTCAAGCAAGTCAACTTGCACATGTGTTATCTACTCAAGCAAGTCAACTTGCACATGTGTTATCTACTCAAGCAAGTCAACTTGCACATGTGTTATCTACTCAAGCAAGTCAACTTGCACATGTGTTATCTACTCAAGCAAGTCAACTTGCACATGCGTTATCTACTCAAGCAAGTCAACTTGCACATGCGTTATCTACTCAAGCAAGTCAACTTGCACATGCGTTATCTACTCAAGCAAGTCAACTTGCACATGCGTTATCTACTCAAGCAAGTCAACTTGCACATGCGTTATCTACTCAAGCAAGTCAACTTGCACATGTGTTATCTACTCAAGCAAGTCAACTTGCACATGTGTTATCTACTCAAGCAAGTCAACTTGCACATGTGTTATCTACTCAAGCAAGTCAACTTGCACATGTGTTATCTACTCAAGCAAGTCAACTTGCACATGTGTTATCTACTCAAGCAAGTCAACTTGCACATGTGTTATCTACTCAAGCAAGTCAACTTGCACATGTGTTATCTACTCAAGCAAGTCAACTTGCACATGTGTTATCTACTCAAGCAAGTCAACTTGCACATGCGTTATCTACTCAAGCAAGTCAACTTGCACATGTGTTATCTACTCAAGCAAGTCAACTTGCACATGTGTTATCTACTCAAGCAAGTCAACTTGCACATGTGTTATCTACTCAAGCAAGTCAACTTACACATGTGTTATCTACTCAAGCAAGTCAACTTGCAAATGCGTTATCTACTCAAGCAAGTCAACTTGCACATGTGTTATCTACTCAAGCAAGTCAACTTGCACATGTGTTATCTACTCAAGCAAGTCAACTTGCACATGTGTTATCTACTCAAGCAAGTCAACTTGCACATGCGTTATCTACTCAAGCAAGTCAACTTGCACATGTGTTATCTACTCAAGCAAGTCAACTTGTACATGTGTTATCTACTCAGGAACTGGTAGATAAGTAATAAACTTGGGCACGTCAACTGGTGTTATCTACTCAAGCAAGTCAACTTGCAAATGCGTTATCTACTCAAGCAAGTCAACTTGCACATGTGTTATCTACTCAAGCAAGTCAACTTGCACATGTGTTATCTACTCAAGCAAGTCAATTTGCACATGTGTTATCTACTCAAGCAAGTCAACTTGCACATGCGTTATCTACTCAAGCAAGTCAACTTGCACATGTGTTATCTACTCAAGCAAGTCAACTTGTACATGTGTTATCTACTCAGGAACTGGTAGATAAGTAATAAACTTGGGCACGTCAACTGGTATGTACGTCATATACTCGGGCAATTCAGACTGCATGTACGTCATACACTCGGGTCACTCAGCTGGTACGTACGTCATACACTCGGGTCACTCAGCTGGTACGTACGTCATATAGTCGCGCAACTCAGTTGGTATGTACGTCATACACTCGGGTAACTCAGCTGGTATGTACGTCTACACACGGGTAACTCAGCCTTTATGAACGTCATATACTCGGGCAACTTAGCTGGTATGTATGTCATATACTTGGGAAACTCAACTGGCATCTACGTCATATACTTGGGAAACTCAACTGGTATGTACGTCATACACTCGGGTAACTCAGCTGGTGTGTACGTCATGCACTCAGGTACCTCAACTGGTATGTACGTCATAAACTTTGGAAACTCAGTTGGTATGTACGTCATATACTAGGGCAACTCAGCTGGTATGTACGTCATACCCTCAGGGTAACTCAGCTGGTATGTACGTCATACACTCGGGTAACTCAGCTGGTATGTTCGTCACACACTGGGGTAACTCAGCTTGTATGCAAGTTAACCAGTATATACGTTATATAGTCGGGCAACTCCACTGGTAGATAAGTTATTCACTTGGGCAACTCAGCTGATATGCACGCCATATACTCGGTCAAGTTGACCAGTATGTACATTATATACTCGGGCAACTCAGCTGGTATGTACGTCATATTCTCAGGCAACTCAGCTGGTATGTACGTCATACACTCGGGCAACTCAGCTGGAATGTACATCATATGCTCGTGCAAGTTAACCAGTATGTACATTATATACTCGGGCAACACAGCTGGTATGTACGTCATACACTCGGGCAACTCAGCTGGCATGTACGTCATGTGCTCGTGCAAATTAACCAGGCTGTGGAGCAAATAGAATACTGACTGATTGATAGAATCCTACCTATCCAACCACCCAGGAAACACATTCACTCTAAATATTTAGGTGGTTAGGTAAACAGACATTTAGTACGTAGCTATAACTTTAATATCAAATATCAATTGATATGTACGTCATACGCTCGGACAACTCAGCTGGTATGTACGTCATATACTCGGGCATCTTAGCTGGTATGTACGTCATACACTCGGGCAACTCAGCTGGTATGTACGTCATACACTCGGGCAACTCAACTGGTATGTACGTCATATACTCGGGCAAGTTAACCAGTATATATGTTATATAGTCGGGCAACTCGACTGGTAGATAAGTTATCTTCTTTGGCAACTCAGCTGGTATGTACGTCATATACTCGGGCAAGCTAACCAGTATGTACATTATATACTCGGGCAACGCAACTGGTATGTACGTCATACACTCGAGCAACTCAGCTGGTATGTGCGAATGTGGTTAGGTAAACAGACGTTTTGTACGTAGCTATAACTTAGATTGTGCACAGTAACCAGGTCAGCATGTGATAACTGTCCCTGCATAACACCGCGTTGCTGTGTACACACGTAGTGGAGCCTAGAGCACACCCGTATTGTCAGGTATCAGGTAAATTGAAACATGACATTACATATCTTTGAGTCACAGTATCCAGGTCATCATGTGATATGCCACCCCGTATAACAGCGCGTCGATTTGTACAGATAATGCAGTCTTGAGCTCAGCTGTACGGTCGGGTGTAAGGTGAGTGAGTGAGTGATTGGGTTTAACGCTGCTTTAAACAGAAATACAGTTATATCGCTGCGTGTCAGCTTAATGTTGGAGGAAAGCCCGAAGTGATGCAGGTCTCAAACGTTTACCACTTCGGTGAAACCAATGAGCACGGATATGGTGCTGACAAACCTAGAAACATAATCGAGGCGAACCGGGATTCGAACCCAAAATCGTAGTGTATTAAACACTAATATCGTAGAATACAATATCTTAATTCCTAATTGTCCCTTCTAATAGTCAGTTGATTAGACCCCAAATCATTACCCTGTCAGCCTGCACCGGTAGAAGTCATACAAAGACTATTTCTTGTCGTGATTGATTACATTTTTAGTCACCTTGACAATCAAGAAGACATACGAGAGCCCCAAAAGAGTAAGTCCCAACCATAGCGGTTTATTTCCATCTTTAGCAAATACAGGATTTAAAATCTTTATGTCAGGAAAGATCTGAACGCCTTGTTTTCCACATCTACCTACTTCATAAGACAGCTCGTGAATGCATACTACTACTACTACTACTACTACTACTACTACTACTACTACCACGACTACCACTACTACTACTAAAAATATTACCGTCTTCGCCAAGCTTTTGGTTTTGATTCCATTCATTGAACGACCTACAATTATAAAGACGGCGCCATGGAAAATTATAAAATTAACAGTTTCACTATCTTCGCATCTCAAATAGAGTGACTTAAACAAAATCATAGATAGTAGTGTATTTGGCGTAACTGTCTGGACCATTAGAATCACCTGTCATGAGCAGCGGGACAAAAATAAACTGTGAACATGACACAGGAGTGAAATTAGGTCACCAAAATCTATGAAATCATGAAATTGTTTCAGAATGTGGACAGGAATGAGGTTTGCGCTTGTGGCTTTGTTGGCGGTGTTTCAAATTGCGAGGCTACAGAAAGTGTCAACTCTAAATGGCCTTCTTCTGGGACAACGTTTGTCAGTGCTAGGCAAATCTCTTGACGTATTCTATGGAATCCCATACTCTAAGCCCCCTCTGGGCGACCTCCGCTTCAAGTACCCTCAGCCTTCAGAGTCTTGGGGACCGGAAGCTAGGGATGCACAGAAACCGACGCCATCTTGCATTCAACCTAAACATGCGTTTGTGCCTATTGAGACTTACAGACAGACCCCTGGTGATTACAGTGAAGACTGTCTTCATCTTACAGTGTGGGCGCCAACAGACAATAGTGGCCATCTAGCAGTGATGGTTTGGATCTATGGTGGGGGTTGGTATTTTGGATCCACACGACCGTATGAAGGTAAATACCTTGCAGCAGAGAATGACGTCATCGTTGTATCAATGAATTACAGATTAGGGCCTTTAGGGTTCAGCTACCTGGGGCCAGATACCATTCCTGGCAACATGGGCTTGATGGATCAAAGACTGGCTTTACAGTGGGTGAAAGATAACATTGCCAACTTTGGCGGGGATCCATCCCAAGTGACCATATTTGGAGAAAGTGCTGGTAGTGGCAGCGTAGGTCACCACTTAGTGTCACCTCTGTCACGCGATGTGTTTGACAGAGCCATCATGCAGAGCGGGACTCACATTTCTCCATGGGCTTACGCTGTGCCCAAAACAGCAAAACGAAAGATGAAGTGGTTTGCTGATCTCCTCGAATGTCCATCATCTTCAACTGATGCAGACATCTATGACTGCTTGAAGACAGCAGATGCCCAAACTATGGCTGACGTTCAGCTCGGTATGTTAGACGAAGGACTTGGATTCATACCAGTTGTGGATGGCTACTTTCTCCCCGATGACCCCACAACTCTTCTGTCCAGCGGTTCCATCAAACAGACCAGTGTATTGCATGGTTTTACTAAAGATGAAACAACACTGTTTTCGGCAATAATGTTGATGCAGATGAGAAACGTATCGACATTACCGGAAACATTGATTTTAAGTCGCCCAGAGTATGATCGTTTTCTTTCAGTTGTCTTAAAAAGATTTGCAAGTGGTAAAGGAATTCCAGAACCCCTTCGTCTGTTTTATGAAAGTCAGAAAGCCCCCTTAAAGGAGGCACACTATTTTGATGTCGTAAATCACTTGCTTTCGGATACGGAAATGAAATGTCCTCATCTTGAGTTTGACAGATTGTACTCTCCCGCTAACCCTACGTATGTGTACAGTTTTAACCACCGGCTATCAATTATTCCCTATCCACAGTGGATAGGAGCAACTCACTCCTACGAGGTTGAGTATGTGTTTGGTTTGGTAATCGATGAGACTCTAGGATGTACACAGGAGGAGGTGGAACTCAGCAGGACCATCATGACCTACTGGACCAACTTTGCCAAGTCAGGGTGAGTGAGTGAGTGAGTGAGTATCAGGTATTAGTGCGCCAAGATACTCAGTCTGATATTGTCTGCAGTCGCAACAGTCTGCAGTCGCAACACTCGTTATCTATACCTCACTCTCATGCTATGATGGCATTTTGATGCACATTTGGTTGGTTGGTTTGTGGTTAAATGCCGAACTCAACGTTATTCCAGTTATATGACGGCGGCCTGTAAATAAACGAGTCTGGACCACACAATCCAGTGATTAATATTATGAGCATTAATCTACGCAATTGGGATCGATCACATGCATCAACCAAGTCAGCGAGCCTGACCACCCGATCCCGTTAGTCGCCTCTTACGAGAAGCATAGTCGTCTCATATGGTAAGCATGGGTTGCTGAAGGCCTATTCTACCCGGACCTTCACGGGTCTTTGATGTACAGAATGTCACTTTGCACCACACACTTATACCGCATATACCTGAGTGAATGAATTTTTCATTACATCAGTGATGGAAAACAACTTTACGTCAGTTACAAAAACTTAACGTCTATAAATCATACACGCAGCAAGACGTATTTATCCTTTTAAAATAATTTTGATTAGGGGTTGGGTGTCGTTCGGGGGAGGGTATGTAACTGGGCTCTAATAACTACATGTGCACAATGTATGAAGACCATTTGTTTGTGGTAGCCCGTCATGATATTTCTGGAATATTGCTGAAAGTGACGTAAAACAACACTGACCCGATCATGTTTACATGGTACACAACATGCAGGCATTGTTAAAAACATCCTAGACGTTCAGAACATTTGACATCTATTGGCAGTGACCCTAACGCTCCTGTCCCAGTGAAGGTGGACTGGCCGGCCTCTGACAACACTGACCTCACCTACATGGCCCTTGACGTGGGCAACAACTTAGCAGCAGGACATGGGGTAGTCCATCACGAATGTGTCTTCATCAACAGGATTCTACCCATGATTACAACAGGTGCTGTTTATGATTGAATATTGAGTATGAAATGATTATTGTCATTTTTAATGTGTTTTCAGGTTATTTTTTGGTAATGTTTATTTTTAATACACAGTCGAATGGATTGACTTTAATACTTGTTTCATCTGGCCTCAAGTATATCAATTATCCGCCAAAACATATTTAGACAGAATGCGTGTAAAATATCTGCGAGTAAAGGGCAAAATAACGCTGAAAATTGTATGAATGGATTATAAATAATCAGTGATGGCATCAGGGTGTTGCGAAAAGGGTAAGCATGTCCTGCCCTACCGGTAGCAACCGAAAACAATACCAAAGTAGATCAACGAGTTTCAGGGGGTACCTTGCCTTTTTCCGTTCAAGGTCAAGTCTCATTCACATTGACAGAACCACTCCAAATTACACGTTTCCTTTATTAGCAGAAACGTTTTTGTCAATGTCCGATGAGTGAGTGAGTTGGGTTTAACGCCAATGTGCAGGACCCGCATCATTCGACCGGGTACCCATGCACTGCTGGAATAATAGATGCATTCTTACAAACATATCTTTTTGCGTTATGAAAATAGGTCAACGTTAATGACTATTAGACTGCTTATTTTATTATTAACACAAAAGAACTGTAGACAACCATACGAAATCGGGGACACGGTTCAGTTCAATAATGCACCCGCCCAGTCCCGCCAACTCAGCCAATCAGGAAACAGTAGACCGCGAGTGGGCGTGGACCATGTTGTATCATTGTGGGAATTATGCTGGATTACATCCAGGGAAATAATAAATAAAATTATTGTGTTTCAGACCCACCGGAAGGGCAGGAGTACTGCACGAGAGGATGAAAGGACAGCCGAATAATAATCAGTAAAAATACATGGAACCTGATGATTTGTATGTGTCTGGTTTAACACTCTATTAAATAGTTTATCAGTTATACCATTTTGTGTCAGCTGGGCGGAGCAGGGATATGCAAAGAAGCCCAGATCGGACACAGTTCTCGCAGCGAAGGGACGCAACTCTACATAGATAATGTGACGCCTTGTCGTATCCACCATCACCCAAACCACACCCTTATATACCTAACTATGACTGCATGGAATACATGATTTGCCTGCAATCTGTTGTCGCTCAAGGTTCTGTGCTGAGTTTACTTTAGCATACAGTGAGTGTCATGTGATCGGATGTACGAGTGTGGGTTGGGTTTAACGCCGCTTTTAACAGTATACCAGTTATATTGTGGCTCGGATGTACGAGCAGTCAACTGGCACATGCGTTATCTACTCAAGCAAGTCAACTGGTACATGTGTTATCTACTCAAGCAAGTCAACTGGTACATGTGTTATCTACTCAAGCAAGTCAACTGATACATGTGTTATCTGCTCAGGCAAGTCAACTGGTACATGTGTTATCTACTCAAGCAAGTCAACTGATACATGTGTTATCTGCTCAGGCAAGTCAACTCGTAGATACGTAATCTACTTGGGCAAGTCAACTGGTATGTACACCATATACCAGGGCAAGTCAACTGGTATGTACGTCATATACCAGGGCAAGTCAACTGGTAACTGGTCAAGTCAACTGGTAACTGGTCATATACTCCGGAACTCAGCTGGTATGTACGTCATATACTCCGGAACTCAGCTGGTATGTACGTCATATACTACGGAACTCAGCTGGTATGTACGTCATATACTACGGAACTCAGCTGGTATGTACATCATATACTCGGGCTACTCAGCTGGTATGTACATCATATACTCGGGCTACTCAGCTGGTATGTACGTCATATACTCCGAAACTCAGCTGGTATGTACATCATATACTCGGGAACTCAGCTGGTATGTACATCATATACTCGGGCTACTCAGCTGGTATGTACATCATATACTCGGGCTACTCAGCTGGTATGTACGTCATATACTCCGAAACTCAGCTGGTATGTACATCATATACTCGGGAACTCAGCTGGTATGTACATCATATACTCGGGCTACTCAGCTGGTACGTACATCATATACTCGGGCTACTCAGCTGGTATGTACGTCATATACTCCGAAACTCAGCTGGTATGTACGTCATATACTCGGGTAACTCAGCTGGTATGTACGTCATACACTAGGGCAACTCAGCTGGTATGTACGTCATATACTCGGGTAACTCAGCTGGTATGTACATCATATACTCGGGCTACTCAGCTGGTATGTACATCATATACTCGGGCTACTCAGCTGGTATGTACATCATATACTCGGGCTACTCAGCTGGTATGTACACCATATACTCGGGAACTCAGCTGGTATGTACATCATATACTCGGGCTACTCAGCTGGTATGTACATCATATACTCGGGCTACTCAGCTGGTATGTACATCATATACTCGGGCAACTCAGCTGGTATGTACGTCATACTCTCGGGCAACTCAGCAGGTATGTACGTCATATACTCGGGCAACTCAGCTGGTATGTACATCATATACTCGGGCTACTCAGCTGGTATGTACGTCATATACTCGGGCTACTCAGCTGGTATGTACGTCATATACTCGGGTAACTCAGCTGGTATGTACGTCATACACTAGGGCAACTCAGCTGGTATGTACGTCATATACTCGGGTAACTCAGCTGGTATGTACGTCATACACTCGGGTAACTCAGCTGGCATGTACGCCATATACTCGTGCAACTCATCTGGCATGTACGTCATATACTAGTAACTAGTATTATAGCTGAAATGGATAGAATTATCATTAAACCGTCCGCATGTTATCAGATATCAGCGGTCCACTGTAACTTGATAATGCCCTCATATTGCGTGACGACGGGCCATTATCACGCCCGTTGTTAGGTCACGTGATAGGTAGGGATAGGTGACGTCACGTTCAATAGTAGCGCCATCTGGTTTGTTCTATGACGTTTCCATATTTGTAAAAGTGGGTCACTGATATTTGTGTTGATTGCAATAAATGTTTCAAAATATTGTTGTTTCTTTTTATTTGGTACAAATTCCATTCATTTTAGCTATAATAACGGTAACGCTATTTTTTAGAGCATTATCATTTGAAGAAGCCCTCGGATTCTAACTATAAATAGGCTCGCAGACTTGGTTGATGCATGTCATCGATCGCAAATGCTTTGATCGATGCTCCTGATATCAGTCACTGGATTGTCTGGTCCAGACTCGATTATTTACAGACCGCCGTAATATAGCCGGAATATTGCTGAGTGCGGCGTTAAAAACAAACCAACCAATGAACCCAGTAAGGTGGCTAATGCAGGGTGCAGGACTCGGCTTATTGTATTGAGGGCTTGTATAACTCTTTGTAGTGTTTGTAGTGTACTGTATGTAAAGTTTAAAGCTAAAATGAAACATCTGAAATATCTAACTTATATGTACAAATACTTAAAACTTGACTTGGCCACACAAATAACGTTATTGTGAAACCATCACACACTTTGGTGTTTTAATTTAAATAAACCCCCCTTTACACAGGGCAGCGACCTTTGTGCCACCTTTGAGCGATCAAAAACTGGCCAGGACATACAATGGTCGCCTAAACCCAGAAAATTATGTTTCTATGTAACTGCTCTAGCAGTTGTTCAGCAGTAACTGCTCGAGTTGTGCAGCGTCTGCAATCACAATTAAACACTACAGATACAAGCCCTCTATTTATAGGCAGGCTGAGTAGGGATTACATGTTGCTCAAAGGAGGCAGAAAAGAGGCAGAAGCATTGCCATTGTGTTTCAAGGGTTGCCGTGGTCGCCGAATGGAGTCACGGCAGTCGCCACAGTCATCGTTCAATGCACGCTGTTGGTCGCCCAAAGGAGGCAGAAGGGAGGCAGAAGCATCACCCAGACTGAAGGGAAAAATTACCTGTCGACAATTGGGCGACCACTGTGCCTTCCTTCTGCAACAACGGCAATGCTTGTGCCTCCCTTCTGTCTCCTTTGAGCCACCTTTGAGCAACCAATCTCCTCGGCGACCTTTGTCCGACTGTTTTGAACATGTTCAAAAATTCACAGCGACCATGGCGTCCATGGCGATGTCTGAACCTCCTGTGTACCACCTTGGAATGACCTAGGCAACCATTCTGCCTCCTTTGAGCCTCCAACGACGACCTGGCAAATGTTATGGTCGCACACGGGAGGCACGAAGGTCGCCATCCTGTGTAGAGGCCCCACTAGTTTATTCAATGTTTACGATGCATGACAGGGCGTTGTCAGATCACTCTTCATAATGTCACATCGATGTGTTGTATGCGAGAAGACAGTCAGGAACACTTGACATGCCGTATGTTGTGATGAATGCTGTCAGTTGGAACATCAAGTTTGCGGTATTGGACGGTGCCGTTTTGTTGTTACCAAGCATGAAGTTTTGTGATTCAAATCTTGGTGGATACCTAGCTGTGATAGTGAAGGTTGCCCAGATTCCCCAAGCATGCTTCTCAAAGGATTTCTACCGGCTTGTGTACAATTTGAGGAATCGTGTTATAATGTGTGTACTCAAACTAACGGATGAATTTCATGGAAATTCAGTGTTTCGCAGGATGGAAGTTTTACCACCGCAAGACACCGCACCACCGTACATGGGTAAGTGTTACATTTCTTCAACCCAAATCAGAATAGTTATTTAATAGTCATACCTGGATCCAGAGCAGGGTGCACCGTCGCATCCCTCCCTTTCTTTGTGGAACATTCTATTCATGTTTACCTATAACAGGACTAATACCTAAATCATTTGGTGACATATATTCAACAAGGGTAACAACGAAAATGGTTCAACGAATGATTTGCATTCACGTGGCATTATGCTTTGCACTCTTACCGTTTAATTTTTTTACAAACACACCCCTTGTTTCGAAAATATACTTTGAGTATCCGCCGTAGAAATTGTTAATAACCTTCTCAAATACATTTACTGCAACATGAACATCTGTTGGGTTAGTAAAGCCAGTTAGGCCTGTTGAATACCTGTTGGCATAGTGATGTTAACATTGTTGCAGAATGTAGGTAAGTGCTCCCCAGGTTAGGCCTAATATCCCTCATGAGGTCGAGCTAGAATCTTGTCATCAACCTGTTACTGCAGTAAGTTTCGTCAGTTCTTGGAAACATTCTATATATGGAAGTGTTTACTATGCTGGATCAGTGAACATGAGCATGACAGAAAGTCGATTTTCAAGCTCAATCGAAATTCAGAGTATCGTGGACGTATAGTTAGCATCGTGGGGCTTATTTTAGGCCAAAAGGCCTAAATGATATAGATAGTATAGCTATTCCCGTATTCTGTTCAATCTGAGCTCTTTTTAAGTCTCAAATATAATTTAATTTTCGTCGTGTGTCATTGTGCACAGTACGAGTGCTTCTCTTGCATTTCCTGGAAACTGCGGTCTTGTGGCTGACCTCACATCAATTCCCTGAATTGGCGATCGTTTTGCCCTTTGCAATCTGTCCAGGTACGACAATTACAAACAGTGACAGGTATCGGTAAGGCCTAACAAAACGAGATTTGTGATTTCGATTACCCTACCGACCCTATAAAATACTTCCAACCCTAATGCTTTTTCACAAATGTGGTGGTCGGTCATGTCCGCCAATACTGCCGAAGCTACCCGAGAGCCGCAGCCCGTGCCCGGGAAGCAGCAGGACCCGGAAATCCTCCCAGCCAATCAGCTAGCCGGGAACCCACGAGGAAACAGTCAAGTTCAGAGCAATCAAAGTAAGTAGACGTCTTTCTGACCTTTCGCTTATCTTTGTTAATGTAGCTGACTCGCAATAGTGTCAACTAGTGCCACTGGTGCTATTAGCGTCGGAATAGCACCGACATGAGTTAACACTACACAAAAATAGTAACTTAAATGA